GTATTACGTTGATGATTGATTTTTTCCTATTTGTTACGGTAAAAGAACTTGGTCGTATAAAGTTTTTTTCAGTAGAGACAATGGATGAAAAGTCATAGTGGATTTCAGGTACATTAAAAGCAGTTCTTTCATATCGACATTAACAGGAAAATGGAATTATCCCAGATGTATATATATATGATACAGTATTTTAATAATGTTTTTAAATTGATCTGGCTTATCTGGCTTGGAATGGCATGTCTGAAGTATTCCTCATCACTATGATTCTTCAGGTGTTGATCACTCCTAAAAATCTAGTGAGCTTTATCTAAGTGGTTACTGTGACAGTAAAAATGGGAAGTGCTCAGCTGTACAGCTATCATCCACTGTACACAGACTATAAAACTTCATGGGCAACAGATTGAGCTGTAGATACGTGATCCCATATTCCCTGGTGTCACTATTATAGGGCAGAGACAAACTGCCTTATCATTAACACTCTAAATAAAGAAGCCATGAATGAGACAACTGAAGCAAGTTAAGAATAATATACACGCTTTTTTACTGCTTTTAACTTTTTTCTCACTGTTTTGAGGCAGTAGTGGAATTTTAGGCTATTCCTCCAGAATGTGCTGCTGGTTGCATCTGAGAACTAATGTTTCTGCCTACCATGGGTCTATAAACTCTCTTTAAAAAAGCCCCAAATCCTAACACTTGCATTTTTCAAGCTGTTAGACAGAGATAGGCATTGGTTTGGCTGCTTGTCCACATATGAATGGTAAGATTTATGACTCTTCTGTCTGCTTATCTGAAGGCTTGCAGTGCATTCCTCAATTTGATTATTAATAAGGCTATCCTGAATACAAAGTATAGCAGCAGTAAAGAACAGCCTGCTTGGGAGGGAACAACATGACACAATATGCTATGACATCTTCTGGATACCATCATCCCTTCATAATTGAGTATATCTGAACTGGAAATCCAATTCTTCAAGTTTCCTTTCCATTTTATAGAAAAATGCAATGTAATTAATGGCTTGTCTCCCAGTATTAAGCCAGTGGATTTGCATGACATAGTCTTTAAGAATACTCAAGGTATTTTTTTTTTTTGCTATTATTTACATACTCAGTAATAAATATAGGAACATAATAGTAAATTTAAAGTTACTGAATAAATTTCTATTTCTTATGCAGCAGTGGAAAAACACAATTTAAATTTTTTCATTTTTGTCAGTGCTTGGACTCATTTATGTGTCTTTCATGAGCATCCTGGAAGCATCTAATGCATAGAAGCAAACTTGCAAGGTTTCTCCATCTGGAGAATGAGGATCTGTTTTTTTATATATACTCTGATATGCAGAATTCAGACATGTGTCTGTCTGAGCTCCTGGTCTTCTTAGTGGTTGAGTTCAATTTAAACTATTTAGATGTTAATTTAAACAATGCTGCTGCCCCATGTGCTGTATCAGCTTGGCCAGAGCTGTATTCACTACTGAGAAACCTGGCATTTTCAACCATTTTGCATATTACTAGGAGATGGAGCACTTTTGAGAACCAGTTCATTTGAGTCTCTTAGTGTGAAGGTTATGACAAGCCTACACCTGCCAGCATCCAAAATATTTTACTATATATTTTACTAAACTGGAATGAAAGAAACCTAGTGGATTTTGACAACCTACAGCTTAGAAAATAGCTAATACTCTTCAAATATATCCTCTAGGGTTCTTATTTTTAATTTCAGTGTAGTGAAATGTGCAGAATGTAAAAATATTCAGGAGCGGGAAAAACGCTCTTCCTCCTCCTAGCAAAATATCCTAATCATAGAACAACAGAAACAGGTATACTACTTCTCTTTTTCTTAGGTGTGGAAATATGCCCTGAAACAGACAGACCATATGATGCCAGCTTTTTTTTTGGTTTTTTTTTTTTTTTTTAATCACAGGGATACAGAATAAGTCAGTGGTCAGTGAGTGAGGGGAGATATCACTGAATGGTGTATGTGGGCAATTACACATCATGGCCACTCACAGGAGATGTCATCTTCATAAAATTGTCTTGCTATATGATGGACTGTCACTAGCATTAGGAGTTACCTAGATAAGCAAGGTCAAAATAATTTTATTTTATTTTTTTTTTAATGCTGAGAGTTTAAGGCTGAATCTTTGACAGCGAATTTCCTCTCTCAAGGATCTAGAAATCAGCATAATGAAAAATGCAGGAATAAAGAAGGAAGGTTGTACTGAGCTTCAGATATATTGAAATTAGAGAAGAAGTTTCTAACGAAAAAACTTCAGGAGAACAAAGAAACTGTAATGTTTATTTCTTTTAATTAATCCATTTAGCTTAGGATATAATTAGGATTTCATAATTGTTTGTGTGATACTGATTTATTCAAATATATTTGAATAAGTGCCCTCCAGATGCCTTAGGAAAGCCTATGAAATCTATCTTAATTTTTATTTTGTTTATGGAAATGTATTTATATTGTCTCTGAATATCTATCCTTATCATTTACCTAATTTTTAGATTTCTGAAGCAATCTAAAACCATTTTCCCCAAACCAAAATACTATCCTCCTATATTTCACCATTTGAATTGCAATGTTTAGACTCTGTAAGTCTTGGCAGCACAAAACCTTGTCTGTTAGAAACTGCTTCCCTGAACAGAGCACTTCATTAACTTCAAAAGCAGTAGGCTGTCGTTCATGTTTGTGTTCAATTATTGTGCAAATAAACAGGGCAATTTTTTTGAGTTTTAAAATGTACTAGGCTTATATATTTATGGAATACACTAAGTTTCTTTAGCTTTATCTACGACAGTTTTATTAATATTGGTTACAGATTGCATACATACATATATATATATATATATATTCCATGCTCAATCAATTTGGATTTTCCTAGATATTTATTTTTTTCTTAAGAGTCTGCCTTTCCCGTCATTGCCTCTTTTCCAGTTTGAAATGACTAATGTTTAAATAATTATTAGTCATGTCTTATCTCAGTGGCTAGGGTTTGTGCTTTTAAAGTGATATTATATGAGCATCTGCTCCTGTGGCTCTTGCCAGAAATTAAAAGGCTGATCTGCAGGAAAAAAAAGGTTAACACCTCAATTTTGTAGTGAGAAATGGATTGCAAGAGGGAGAAGATTTGCAAAACCCAAAAGCCTTTTATATTTAATACTGTCAGTAAATAGTAAATACACATCTTTTTGCTTTACCAACTGTCTATCTGCTTGGTTACTCACAAGACTGTTTACAAACTGACTGCAGTTTTTTAAGTTTAGTTTGATCACTGGATATTTAGATTCTGAGAACTTCCTGCTGAGAAAGTGGCAGTGATGAATAATTTTTTTTTAGGCTGTACAAGTACAGATAGGAACATTACTTTGGAAAAGAATAAATACAAGTGAGGAGAGAGTGAACTTCTTTCAGAGGCATAATACCTAGTTTGTAATTAGTGATCTTGGCCATTTTCTGTCCATTAGTATTCACAAGTCTCTGTTAAAATGAGGCTGAAGGGACCACAAGGATGCTGGTAATTTTCTGAGGTATTCCATGTCACCACAGTAAGAACACATCTTCAAATTACTTTTATTGTCACAGTATCCTTGTCCCTTCCAGATCCAAGAATAAATTATATTACCCTAAAGTATGTATAAATGTACATTCTATGGACAATGTTATCTCATTAATGAGAAAACCTGAAGCACAGCACTATGTCACAAATATATTTGCTTCATTTAAGATGAAGGTTGGCTCAAAAGTGTTCTAGAAATTGTTTATTGTTTGAGGCATGTCCTACTCTGCTGCCTTGCACAGCTGCAGGATCATGTCCAGGGAGGCTACAAATACTGGTGGCCAGCATGGGACTCAACGAGATGGGCTTCTGCTCAGTTAACCTCAGGAAACCATTTATTCAATACAGGAACAAACCCAGCTTAGATCCAGAGAGAGAGAGAGAGAGCCCCGAACAGAGGCAGGGTGATGGGTTTTGTGGGACAGAACCAGGGTGGTGTTTAAGGTCGGGGTCTAATAGGAACGCAGCAAGGGAGAAACCCCAGGGGCTCAAACCCAATCAGAACTCCCTGGGCTGCCACCCCATGAAGGTCCAGGGTGGGGCAACTCTTATGGACTCACAGGACCCATCCCCTGAGGCAGGGGGATGGAATCCACTCTTCCTGGGCTTTAAAGCCAAATCTCTCACTTTAACAATGCTTATCTGAAACTAAATCTTTGCCTCCATGGCACCTCACACTACTCTGGTAGTATGACCTATTTGGGGATGCTTTCATTGCAGGATAGAAGTTATGTATGGTTTCTTGGATTCCTGTATTTACTGAGAATGAAGTAAAGAATGAATCTACATGCAATTCAGGGCAAAAGAGCAAAATCTGAACTTTTTGCTCAACATATTTATCAGTTCAGGCAAAAGTCATGCTAAAATATCTCTACATTTTAATTTCTGGAGGCAATTTGAGGCATCCCAGTTTTATGCTCCTTTGTATGTTGTATTTTCAGTGAACTGTTGAGTTCATTATTAATGGATTATAAGTAGAAAGCAAGAATCCATGTCTCCCTTCCGCCAGCCACATACACATAGGTCCTGGAAGATCTGGAAGGGGCAAATGTATTAGTTTCAAGTTTAACTATATAAAATAGCAGCACTAGTTATAGTTGCTATGTAATAACTAAATATACTTCACTCCTCTCCTATTTTGCTTCTGAATTGTGTGGTTAATATATAACGCTACACTTTTTTTTTAAAATTCACAATACTAAAATGAGTGGAAAAAAACACAACATGTTTTCCTTTAGGTAAGTTCTAATTGTTGCAAAAATTGTTTATTTTTCGACTGACTCAAAGCTCATCAAAATCATGAGTTACACTGTATCAGATTTATGAAATTGAATATTTCAGGCTGATGAATCTTTTCCAAAAGGATGATTAAATATGTTATTTTATGCCCTTTTTACTTACTAGTGTTTTTATTTTTGTTCTTTTGTCTTTGTCCCTCTACCAGGAGGCATTTTTGAGTGTGTGGAATCTGGTCCAATGGGAGCAGAAGAATTAGCCTTCAGATTTGCTGTGAACACAATCAACAGAAACAGAACTCTTCTGCCAAACACCACATTAACATATGACACACAAAAGATAAATCTCTATGACAGTTTTGAAGCATCCAAAAAAGGTAACCTTTTGCTTATTTAGCTTTTTAATGAAGAAATAAGGCTCACTAAGTTTACTTACATGTAAAAATGTCTATCCAATGAAGCCATATGCAATGAGACTGACGTTATTGTCAATGGCATTAAAGAGCTGCTTTATTAAAGGTTCCAATGGTAACTGCTTGACAATTACATTGTCACCTTTGCTCCCATTAACCCTATCTAAAAGCTATTCCCTGAAATATTTAAAATCTGAAATAAATTTTGCTGAACATTGTGACGAGGGTGTTTCTGAGACCAGTTCCGTTAGAGTGAGAAATCTCACTATCTCCAAAATTTATCCAGCAAAATGCCAAGTTCCCCCAAATTCTACTGAACTTGGGATTCAATTTTAAGTATTCAATCACTTGAAGTACATTTTCACAAATGCATTGATATAGTTAATCATGGACTTCAAAAGGGAAGTAGTAGTTGTAATTTTGTGCATTTTATACCAACATGGCACAAAAATAAACCTAAATATTAAGTCTGTGCTTAAGACTATCCCTGTCATATACATGTATCAGCCTGAGTTATGCTCTTTTCTCCTAACTATAAATTATATGTTTACAGAAGAACTAAGAGTAAAAATTAATTTTGAACAGTCTTCATAAATTTTAAGGTATTTGATTCTCAAACAAAAAAAAATCCACATTTTCAGATTGCTTTGCATTTAAATCAGGGACAACAGATACAAGTTTCTGCACCACTGCTGTATTCTAGAAGGTGCAAACACCAAAATGTTCAATGAGTATTTATGGAAGAAAGTATAAAGCCTTGTGTCAAAACTGCACTGTTTTACATGTCCTTTAAAAATATTTATATAAAATGAAGGGCTAATTTTATATGAATACTATATGTAACAAAACAATAAGAAGGGTGGAAGAACTGGAGATCAGTCTGTGTTTCTTATGGCATGTTTCTAGCCTAAATCTGCCAAATGATCTGGTCCCAACATGTCTCTCCCAAGCATTAAAGGCAGAAAGCTTTATACAGTGAGGGATTTTTGGTGTTATGGTGGGCTAAGAAGAGTGAAAACACTTGATACAACATTAGAAATTATACAAAAGGGAAAGTTCCTGTGTCATGATTAATGTATATGAAGGGCAACTTAAAAGTGGAATTTAATACTAATTAAATGTTCAGTGTAGAACTGAAGGGAAATTTTTACCCCTTTTACCGTTATAGACTAACAGAGTTAATCTTGCTAACCTGTTTTATCTGTTTATTTGGCAAATAAATAATTCAAATATAGAATCTTGTTAGGCATGAAAAGAAGGTATCATTTGTACAGAAATACACACGGTTTGGTCATTGAAAGATGATAATGAAAATTGGTAATTTTTCAGTTATGGAAAGTTATAGGGTAAATATTTAATCCTAGTAAAATGGTTTCTTTGCAGAGTAGCAGGTAGAAGAAGAAGAAAGGGGCAAAAATGCACTTTTAATAGGGTATTTTTGAGTTGTTATTCTAGTGTTTTGGATAATGGATTAAAGCAGGTTTTGAGAGAGACTGCTGTTTCCTTTCTATCTCATCCAACCATAAATAAAAGGGCTGAATCTTAATTCTGTTTCTCTCATTCTTTCCTTTACACCTTCCAAATTCAACTTCTTCCTGGCTCCTGCACATGCCGACCTATGAAATCTAGCAGGACAGTTTCTCACCATGCCTGAGGGATGAAGTAGAGAGCAGAGAAATTTCTCCTGAGATCTTTAATTCTTTAATTATTTCCTGAGAAAATGCAACTACTTTTAGCCCTTACTAAAGGGGGTTTGCTAGCCTGAATATTATGCTGGTAATTCTCGTTAGACTATAATAGCTGAAGTTAGAATGGCAACATGCTATTGATTAGGCATATTGAATAGATTGCATATATTCATTTTTCCCAATTGCATCTTGGATGACAATGCAACATTTTATTTGTAACTGCTCAGGCTGTATCAAAATCTGTGTAATCTTTTAGTACTAATAGCTTTTTGCATCATCAATTCACAATAAGGACAACTGCATTTGTGCTCACAGGTGCTTTAGTTCAGAATCAAAGGCTAAAGGTTAATACAAAATGGTTCATTTTATTATGAAGGATCCAAAGCAGAATTTTAACAATGAAGTTTAAGCATTTGACTCATTTTTGTGGTTCATTATCATGTCCATTAGTGAGCAGGCAGGCACTGCACCAAAAATGGCCTGTTTAGACCTCTTGTTAAAACATAATTTTGAAGTTGAATGTAGATGAAATATTAATGGCTTTTTAAAGGTACTATATGAAAAAGCAACCTGAAGGCAAGATGATATTTCCAAGGTACATTTGAGTGAAGAATAATGTAAATGCAACAAAATACCTCTCAATGTTCTAAGAAAATTGGTATGCATCTGATAGAGCCAGTGCCATATTAAATCACATGTGAAAGCATTGCATTATTCAAATCTCAGAAAGGGGGAAAAAAAAAAAGTCCATTCAAAAGCCATCTGGTAGCTATTGCTGTTGTTAGTGATCCCATTTACTGACATTTGCATAAAGCTTGTTGATTACTCTTAGGAAGGGCAATATTAGCATAAATGTTTTTTTATTGAGCTAGTCATTTAGGCAACACACCGAATAGCAATGAAGATCCTGTGTGTCTGACAAGTTTATTTAAACCACCGGTGTTCTGCAGCAATAAAAAGGTGTGCCAGCATAGTTTCTGAAATGCACTTGAAAGACTTAGCAATATTTTCATCAAGTTGAAAAGAATGTGCACAACAATTAATTTTCAATTGATGAGAAAAGCAATGCAGCAAGACGTGTTTCCACTGCTTGTTTCCTCAGCTGTCAGGAGCATTGATGGTGGAGTAACAGAATTAATCAAACCCCATATAAATACTCATGTCTAGTTTGGTTTTCTTTACTTCTCTGTACCAGTGAGTTGTTTTCCTTGAAGACAGAGTCTGTTTTTCAGAGCTGCATACTCGTAAAAATAATGCCTGTTGTAGTGAAGAGATTGGAGCAAGGCCTTGTCCCAAACTCTGGTCTTCATTATTGACTATCTTTTCCTGCCTTCTTTTTGGCACGTCCTAACACATATTCAGCAAGATGATTCTGGAGTATGCTGTGGGAGATGATACAGACCAGAGACTGCTGATGAACAGTACAGGTAGAGCCACCAGAGTATCAGAAAACAGGAGGCTGAGTCCACTTCAATACAGCAGTATCACGTCGGTGACTCACAGGGCCAGTTTTATAGACTCATACAAGTATAGCAAAACTGAGCATTTCCAGTTTTTAAGAAGGGACAATTAATTTTTTTTCACTAACAGACAGCAATTTAATTTTAGGAAAAATGTTGGTCCATAGATTGTACTAGCCAACATGCCTGTTTCAGATACAGAAATTCAAATGTCCATTTTAATGAAATTAACCCTGTGCCTGATAATTAACTGTGAGCTACTTCACATGTAAACTTCCTGAGTAATTAGAACCTTAGTAGAAATAGTGTTGGTTGATTGAGGAAGAAGTCAGTATTCATCTGTTTGTAATGAAAGCTTGGACGTATATTCTCAAGTTGAAATGTGTAAGTGAAAGCGTTACACGAGAAGGGAGCTCTGTCAGTAAGACAGTCATATTTCATGGAGTGCCTTTTGTTTAATATGAATTGTGCAATCCCTTCTGGCACACTGCCTTTTTCCCTCTCATCATTGACAGACTTCTGTCTGAATTGTGCAATCCCTTCTGGCACACTGCCTTTTTCCCTCTCATCATTGACAGACTTCTGTCTCCTCTTCAGCCTGCGATCAGCTGTCCCTTGGGGTGGCAGCCATCTTCGGACCGTCCCACAGCTCCTCCGCTAACGCTGTGCAATCCATCTGCAACGCTTTGGGAGTTCCACACATCCAGACCCGCTGGAAACATCAGGTGTCAGACAACAAGGACTCCTTCTATGTCAGCCTCTATCCGGATTTCTCTTCACTCAGCCGTGCCATCCTTGACCTTGTGCAGTTCTTCAAGTGGAAAACAGTTACTGTTGTTTATGATGACAGCACGGGTAAGGCCAAAGCATCGGACTGTGTGTGGATCTGCTCACATACACAGAGAGGGAGGAGGGGCATCGCTACTCATATTTCATAATTTAAGAAATCTTTAATAATTTGCAAGAATTTTACTGGTGAAGCAGTGTATAACAGATAATGTGGACTTATTAGCATAAGTATTCTCATAAGTATGCTTCAGTTGTTGAATCCTGTGTGTTTGAGCTCACAGCTGTCAATAAATTGGTCACACTCTATCTGTGTTTTCTGCAGTGTCTTAACAGTTGCTGACAGCTATGTCTTTTGATTTTACTAAAAACTTAAACTTGGAAGAAAAATATGGTAACTTGAAAGATACACTAGTGTGCCCAGTGAAGTAGGAAGCCTAAATTCTGGTGCTGCTTCTGGTGTTGGTTGAGTTCGAAAACAGATGCCATATTTGTTTGGAATTTCAGATAGAATGTGAAGAAGGAGCCCTGATTTCAGCTTCTAGCAATTGGAACAAAAGGAAGTTGGGAGGTTTGTTTTGCAGATGAGTTACAAGAGCTAAAAATGAACTCCTGACTTTCCAGCAGAAATATACTAGGTTGTTACCTTTCCCTTAGTCACCCTAAAATTTGTTTTGCCTTTCAGTTTCACCTTGACAGTGGCAACTTTGAAAAATGCTGTAAAACTAACACTTCATTTGAGGTCTAGTGGTGGTCAGAAATAAGACCTTGGTTAAGAGGGAAATATCACTGTAATAGAAGATACAAGGAAGGCACTTGGCCAAAGAAGATATATTAAATCTGATTGGAAATGCTGCTAACTTCTTCCATGCTGGTTGATCCATCATTGTCAGGAAAAGAGCATAGTGAGACTCAAATCCTTCTTGTGGTTCATTGAACTGGAAGGCTGTTGATGTGCTCATTACATGATGCCGCTCTCTATCCAAATATGAAATTTAAAAAAAATAAGATCAAGAAACAACGTGAGGCTACCTGTAGGGAAGACTAACTCTGCTAGATAAACAGCAGTTATGACAGCAGGACAGAACACCTGCTTGCTGTTCAAGCTCGGATAAGATATACTTACAGCTACCAAAAGGTGAAGAGGGAACAGAGAATACACTCCATCAAAGTATTTATAACTGATAAATTTCTTTATGCTTTTTAAAAAACTGCAAGGCAGTGACATATAGAGGCTTCCTTACTACAAGTTTGTTGGCTGATGTTACCAAAAGTCTCAGGGAATCAAACTTTTGATTTAACATTTAAAATCAAACTCTAGCTTTATAGACTTAAGGCAAGCAATATGTAGCTTTTTTTCTTTTTTTTCTCTTTTTTTCTATTTTTTTTGTATTATTTTGAAATAGGAAAGGAAGCTAAAGTGCCAAATTTTAACGATACGATGATAGAAAGAAGTGAGTTGTGGTGACAGAGTTATTGATATAGGTTTGTGTAAATTGCAAATATTTCACCTTGATTAAAATCATTTGGAGCCAAACTGTTTTTTCAAGAACAGGTTACCTCTTAGAGTTATTGATATAGGTTTGTGTAAATTGCAAATATTTCACCTTGATTAAAATCATTTGGAGCCAAACTGTTTTTTCAAGAACAGGTTACCTCTTAAAACAATCAATTCAGTTAGAAAATTCATATGTTTTAATACTTTGAAACCACTTTGCTCAATACTTTCAAGTAATTCTCTTCTGTCCACAAAAAGTTAACCAAAAAATATTTTATGTTTAATGATCTTTCCATATCAAGAGATATATTGACAGCCCTGATAGATCTGATCTCAATAAAGCATGTTTTAAAGCCAAGAAATAAATAGAAATGGGACATTTCACCCCAGGACAGAATGAAAATGAAAAAGAAGATTTTTTATATATTTTATGATCTACTTGTTCTACTTGTTATTACTGTTAATATTTAAGAGAGAAAAAGCTCTGAATATAAACACTTTTAGAATAATTTCAAAATAATTTTCACAATGAATTAATAGAGTGAGTTACTTAGTCTATTTGAAAAGCTTAAAGGAATATTCCAGGACATAATTTCTTTAAAATTATATTTCTTTCTGGAGTGGCCAGGCCCTTCATATTATGGTACTGGTTGTTCCCATGGATAAGCAGTAACCTCATATACAAAATCTTCTTTGTTTTTCCCTTAAAATCACTTTCTGTCTGAAGAGGCAGAAAAAAATAATCAGTTTTAAAAAGGTTATCTGCTCTTTTTTTTGTGGTATTTTCTGTAAGTGAATTTAAATTCTACTTTTTAAAGACTGTCAACTTCTGTTTGTTAGTAGCATCTCCTATGGATAATTCCAGGACTTCAAAAGCAAATTTCTCTGCTGGGAAGCATCGCTTGCCTTTGAAGTACTTACAGGAACAACTCTTAGCTATGAGAAACTATCAGTCTTAAAGAAGCAGATTTTTATATCTGCTCGAGTTCAAGTGCAAGCTGGTGGGTTTTGAGGCAGGGGTCAAGGAATCTTTTGAAATGAAGTAGTTGCTTGACCTTAGGAAGAGGTTCTTTCCTATCATAAGACAAATATTCAATTGGCAGTCTAGGACTGGACCTGAATATGATGTTTCAACTAAGATTTAGGAATTATGTTGTATGATTTGCACCATTTAAGACTTAATTTCAATTAAAATTAAGGAAATGAAGACAAAATATTTCTCACTGTTTGTGTCTCTTTCTTCCATTTGATCAGTGATTCCTTAATGTAAGATGGATGTAATTATTAATTCCTTTCTCCTTTGTTTCTCTTTTAATTACCCACATCTTACACTCCTTTATTGAATGGTTGTTTAGGATGATAATGTATGTCTTTTTATGATTTTAGAGCTACGATTTCCTTTATCTAAATGGGCAATTTCCCAAAGGGCATCCTGGTCAAGACAATAATAAGCTGGTATAGCAGCTACAGTGATAATTTAATTGCTAAAACTAATAGTTTTTTGGAGATTCATAATCACTTTATGTATTTTTATGATCAATGTAAACATGGATACAAAGAGAGTTGATACTTTTATTATATTGAGGAAGAAAAGGTATAAAGCATGCATTAACTAGGTCTGGATACTTCTCCAATAAATTATGAGGGTTTTCCTATATGTCAAACTTTTGCAACATTATAGGTTGCCTCTTAGGGAAAGCATGATTTTGTGTATCTATTTAACTATTTATATTTCTACAAATGTGTTTATGTCCTTACCTGTTAGGGCTCAGTTTTATGATTTTTCCACGGAATCGTTAAAGTTTTGTAATAATAAAGGAGAGATATCTCATCTGCTTCAGAGCTAAAAAAAATAAATTGTGTCCATGTTCTTCATCTCCTCAGTGTAGGATATATCTTCTAGAGTAAAAACAAATGGTAAAAGCTGTGTGGTTATTTGACACTCTGCAGCCTGTAAAAGCCCATGTTAACTCTAGTATCACTCCCAGAGGTACGCTAGAGATCAAGTGCACAGTTCAGCTTCCCCAGGACAGCACCATCGTGTCCAGCTCTATTCAAACCCCCATGGTTCTGCCTTGCATAAAGGAAAGCCATTTATGTGTCTGATCCATGTAAGTGTAGATGCAGTCTTCCATACTGATTTTTTTGTGCCTTTCAATCCATAGACTAGCTGCCTTCAAAAAATTTATATGACATGTCCCTGCCTCTGAGGATGGGATTGTAACTAGATGATTAAGGTTCCTTCCAACCCAAACTCTTTTATGATTCTATAAGATGTATAAAATAGATATTTGTATTTGGTCTGTATCTAATTTGATTTGAGATTGGGTGGTATGAAGGTGGTACAGGGGAAGTCAATGCTTGTTTAGAGATCAGTTCAAAATAAGAGAGAAAATCTGGAATCCCAGTCTCCCTTTGTAACAATCAAAGAGATTATTGCTAAGAACAGTAATTTCAGTTTGTTGTCTCCCTCATTGGAGTGTTCTCCCTATATTCTCTGAGAAGGAATAGCTGTACATCTTACTTCTAATTTGAGAAAAGGCATAAGTTGTTTTTAATGCACTATGGGTAGCAACTAGACCCTGTCCTATGCTTTATGATGCAGAAGTGACTAAGAGAAGATGAATCTGTGCAGTCCAGCTATTGTTCTTCATGTCAGACTGAGCCTCCAAATACTGGTTTGTTCTGTGCTGATCAGACCTGCCTTGTGTTCAGGAGTCTGTAATGAGGAATGCAAGGTAGCTTGCCACAGGAGAAAATAAAGGTTGTGTCATGCTGAAATAGGTACAGAGAAACTTCTAGAGGGACATGATCAGTAACAGTGGAGTGAGCAAAGATCAGGTTGGGTACAGTATAATAAGGAAGGCACAAGACTGTAGAAATAAGATGAAGTAGATGAATAAACTAGAAAGGTTAATTCTACCTTGACTCTATAAGAAGAGATGCAGTTTTTACATTGGGAGTATGGTAACAGAAATAAACAATAAATAAATAAACAGAAATAAAAATGAACATAGAATGGACAAAGGTTTTAATATATTAATAAAGCCTCTGCCCTGCTAGTATATGAATTAGGTATTGTGGCACTAAGTGAATTTTTTCTTTCAGGGAATTAGAAATGTGTGAGTCCTTTTTTTGTGGATCACAGTTTTAATAATTCTGAAACTCCCTTTCATTATTTTAATTTTTTCTTTGTATTAAATAATAGCTGCTTTCTGATTCCTTCTATGATTTGGTTTCCTTTTCCCCCTATCTCTCAAGAGTTTTTTTTTAATATAGCCCACCTGTTCTATAGGTAAAAACAAAATTGTAATGGGGCTCTAAAATACATTTCTTGTTAAAAAAGATAAATATTGCTTACTTTGATAATTTTAAATGGAAAAGCATATTCCTTTTAACTAGGATTTCATGTTAAAAAACAAATACAGAAACAAACAAAACTTCAGAAATCCCTACCCAAAAAAAACCCCAAAAAAACCAAAACCCAAATCCAAAACACCTCCTAGCAGGTTACTTTATTTTTTTTTTATCTTAAAGTAATTTATGATCTCTTTGCTCATTAAATTCCACT